AGGGCTGAGCCAAGAGCTTGCCGCTGCTCAGGCTCAGTTTTGTAGGGAAGGGAAAGGGAGGTCCATCTTGTCTCTAGGCTGGCTTAACACAGGGCTCTGAACGCACCAGATAGAGCCGTTCCCAGAAACTCCCTGCCCTGGGAGCAGCCCTAACAAGGAGACAGTAAGCGTGTAAAAGGGGCTGCACCTCCCGGGGCCCAGCCCTCCCCTTCTCTGACAGACACCGCCAGGGAAGGTTGCACAGTTCCTTTTCCTGAAGACCCACTAGACCAAGAGGGACCATCGCCAGCCACGTTGGATGAACAGAGAGTCTGAAGCCGAGAGCTCCTCTTTATTTATTTACATTCTCCTTGCTCCTGAAAGAGCTTAAGTGGACAGAGATGAAAAGGCTTACTTAATAATAAACCAGAGGCAGAGCTGGAATTAACTTCTAAGACATTGTTTTCAGAGGAAATACTTTTCCCCCCTCCTTTCAACCCAAGGGAAGTATCTACAAGCAGAAGGATTCCTCTCTACGGAACTGTTTCAAGGAGCCAGTCATCCCTATTCTCTCTGTTTCTACGAGGCTCAGATTAAAGGGATTCTTGTCTGCATGCTTCCTGCAGGCCAGAGTGCTTCTTGACTATCTGAATAATGAGAAGTATTTCCTTTTCCTCTCTCCATTGTATTTGTGTCCCTTTCATATCTTCCTTCAGTCCAGACGCAACTTGGAACATCATAAGGAGCCCTTCTGGTGATGTGTAGGGACTGGTGTTTACTGATTGCCCTTTGGGATCACCAAGGAGTGGATATGACCAGTCAGTGCCTCCAGGGTAGCTCAGGCCTTTGAACCAGCTTGCACCATCCGTTCTGTGTTTCTGGGCTTCCTCTGATCTTTCTAGAATGTGCTTACCTTGGTCTCTAGGGTGTACTCTTGGGAAAAGCCTGCCCAGGTTTCTGTCTGTCTTCAGCATGTAAACGCAGGGTGCAGAAACACCAGCTGAAGCCACCTCACATTCCCTCTTCTATCCGGGCATTCACCTTCCTCCTGCCTGTTCAACCTTCTGCAGAACGCAGAGCTCCCCAGACCAGGCGCCAGTCAGAGCTCGGGAAGAGTTAATGGGTGGTGGCAGCTCCAGGCAGTATCCACCCCCGCCCCTTGGAATAAGGAGACCAGCGCAAAGGTCCCGAGGCAACTGGAAGTGGAACTCCCGGGAGCCCGAGGTCTGCCTGCCCCAGGGCTCCTGAGGACAAGTCGGAGCTGTAGCCTTACAAGGTCATCAGAAGCCCTTCATTGCTAAGCTCAGGGGAGGAGGGTGGAGAGACTTGAAGGACTGCTCCCAAAGCAGAGAATCCTTTACAACGGGGAAAGGCATCAGCCAAGAAGCCAGGCCAGCTCCTCTCGAGGGCCTGAGCTCGCTATTTAAGGATCCCTAGGGATGCCAGCCGCTAAACAAACAGCAGCCTTCTGAGAAGATTCCCCAGGCCCCAGCCCGCACCAAGGGGGCCCTGCCAGCTCTGAGCCCCAGCAGCGGGAGCGTGTCCAAGTGGCTGCCTTAGCAGCAGGCCCCCGACTCTACTGTCCCAGGGACTGCCTCGGCTTGCCGGTCCTGTCTGTCACTGCCCAGCTGTGGACCTTCAGGCTTCCCAGAGGTCCAGCCTCTTGGATGGAGAGCGATGCTCAGCCTGTCTTTGCTCACGCTGGGGTCGTGTTGGCTCTGAGCGGGAGGAAGGGTGAGGGGTCAAGGTGGGGCCAGCTTCCTGGAATTCTGTCAGCAGCGCGCTCAGGGCCCCCCACCCACATCTGTTTATTGTCGCAATCTGATCTATTCATTCTTGCTTTAATGCTGTCCATCCTTCAGCTGTGTTTCCGGCACATCACCCTTCTCCATGTTCTGTGAATTAGCTTCTCAAGGATGGGGGCTGTATCTCCCTCCCTTCCTTTGTAGTCGCTCAGTAGAATTCGCCCTCTCTCTCTCTTTCCCCCTTTTCCTCTCAATTACTCATTCAGCAGCTATTTACTGACAGCCCACAATGTGTCAACTGTTGTGTTGGGAGGACAGGGAGGAAACAAGGGGACAGCTGTTTTGAGGAGTCTGGTGTCACAGATGGACAGTTTTCCCAGCACTCACTTTTTTCTGCAAGCCTGTATCAAGAATCTGCCATGCGGGCAGGCTCCGCCGGGTATGACCCAAGAATGATGGAACAGAAAAAGCTCCTGTACTCGGAGACGTGGGGCTGAGTTGGAGCGTCCAGTAAATGCACACATATGTCATCACATTCCTTCAATTGACGCTGGGAAGGCAGGGGTCAGGGTGCCAGCTTGAAAGGACAGAGGAGTGAGTGAACCCAGAACCGAAGGACAAGGAGGGGGCAGTGGGCACGCCGATTGTGGGACAGAGTGTCCGTCACAGGGAACGGTGGTGCAGAGGGCCTGAGGTGGGGAGGGGCTGGGAGAAGTAACCATACTGCCGTGTCACGAGTGCCAGAAAAGATGTGTGTGTCAGGTGAAAGAGGATCTCAGAAAAGGGCACTGTTGTTTTTTTTTTTTGTCACTTGATTTCCCATTGAGGTACAGTTGATATAAGTGTATATAAGTGTCTAAGTGTAAGTTTAAGGTGTGCAGTGTAATGTTTTTAAATATTTATTTAAATTTTATTTTGTTTTTAATCGGAGGGTGATTGCAACATTGTGATGGTTTCTGCCTTACATCCACATGGATCAGCTGGAGGCGTGTCGCCTCCCTCTTGAGCCCACCTCCCACCCCATCCCACCCCTCTCGATTGTCCCAGGGGACTGGCTTTGGGTTCCCTGTGTTGGATACAGCAAATCCCCACTGGCGATCTGTGTTACATGTGGTAACGTATATGTTTCAGTGCTATTCTCTCAACTCATCCCACCTTTTTGGCTGTGCCGGGTCTTAGTTATGGTCCATGGGACCTTTGATCTTCGTTTCAGCACATGAGATCTTTAGTTGCAACATGTGTGATCTAATTCCCTGACCGGGAGTTGAACCCCGGGTCCCTTCATGGGGAGCTCAGTGTCTTAGTTGCTGGACCACCAGGGAAGTCCCCATAATGGTTTAACTTGCCATTATGATGGGTCATCACATTGTGAAATGATTACCACAATAAGCTTAGTGAACGTTCGTCATCTTGAGTAAACCGAAAGAAAAAAATTTTTCCCTTGTGATGAGAACTGTTAGGATTTATATTCTCTTGACAACTTTCATGTATAACGTACAACAGTGTTTACTATAGTCATCACGTTGTACATTACCTCCCCAGGACTTCTTTCTCTCATAGCTGGAACTTTGTACCTTCTGACCACCTTCATTCAGTTCCCTGAGCCCCACCTGGTGCCTCTGTAGCCGCAAGTCTGATCTCTTTTTCTGTGAGTTTGATTTTGTTCTGTTTTTAGACTTCACCCATAAGTGATATCATACAGTATTCCCTTGTCTGTCGGAACCACACATGTAATAAGTGACAGTGACAAATCCAGGGTGAACCCCAGCTCTTCCGCCCTTCCCGTGAATGCTCTTCACCCCTGTCAAAGCTGGCAGAGGTCGTTGCTATGGCTATTATGTAATTGACCATCCGCTGCCTCATACCTCGTGTCCGACAACAATGCTGTTTAGAGAAGGCAGTGCCTGCTCACAATATCGGGTCTGTTGTTTAGAGACTCCCAGAGCTTTTCTGTTTTCAATTTCACGTGGTTTCTTTCCTCTCTCCACACGTCCCGTCTGACTTACCACACACCTGTCACCCACTCAGCATCTCCGGAACTCTCTGTGGTTCCCCTTCGCTCCCCCAACCATCTCTCTGACCTCCTTGGCTGCTTTCCAGGATGTCCTCCCTCGTATTTCGAGGTACCCAGGTCCTTCGGGCCTCGTCCTCGGACCCCCTCTGTTCTCTGTAACACCTTCTCACGTCACTCCAGCCCACAGTGCTTCGCGCTCTCTTAAAACCCAGTGGTGGTTTTGATTCGCACCCTTCCCCTGTAATCCACGAATCGTCCTTGCGTTCGTTCATCCGCTGAACTTCTCTCTAGTGTGTATCAGGAGTTCTCCTCTGCTCTGGGTGATGAGAAAGTAGATGGAGGGACGTCCCTGGTGGTCCAGTGGATAAGAATCCGCCTGCCAATGCCGGGAGTGCATGTTCAATCCCTGTTCAGGGAACTAGGATCCCACGTGCTTCAGGGAAACCAAGTCCTTGCTCCTCAACTAGAGAAAGCCCAAAGCTCAAATGCCACAATGAAGACCCAGCACAGCCAAAAAAAAAAAAGATTTAACCTGCCTTCCCTGGAGGAAGGGAAAGAGACATAGAGCAGACTGTAGTCATGACGGGTGCTGCACATTACTCTGTAAGTACATTGAGGACAGGGCTACCCTAGAGGAGAGAAGGTCCGCTGTCTTTAGAGGAGCTAGAAAATAATTCAAATACAGAATATAGCACATCAGCTGGGTTTTGAAGAATGACTAAGGACTTGCCAGATGAAACAGGGGCATAAGGCAGTGGGGAAGAACACTCCAGGTCTCAAGAACAGCAGTTGTGAAGTTCCAGAGACTTGAGGCTTGATGTATGTGGATTGGAGAAGACAGGACATTTCATATATGAAAAACATTCCTGTCTTATATAAAGTTGTAACATGTTGTTGTTTAGTTGCTCAGTCTTGTCCGACTCATTTGTGACCCCACGAATCATAGCCCACCAGGCTCCTCCGTCCATGGGATTCTGCAGGCAAGAATACTGGAGTGGGTTGCCATGTCCTCCTCCAGGGGATCTTCCTGACCCAGGGATCAAACTCGAGTCCCCTACATTGCAGGCAGATTCTTTCCCACTGAGCCTTTTTTTTTTTTTTCCAGCTAGGTGATAAAGTTCTTTGACATTTATCCAAGTCGCTTTACAGAGCAGGCACTTCATTATAATCCTGGAACTGTCCCCCGTGTGCAGTTTCCAAGCCAGGGGATGTGTAGACTCATGTAATGGGACATAACTGGCCTTGCTTTTGTGTTTGCCTAGACCAAGGATGCCCTTTTCACAATTTTACACGACCTGCGACCCCAGGACCATTTCAATATTGTTGGGTTTTCCAACCGGATCAAAGTGTGGAAGGACCATTTGGTGTCAGTTACTCCCAACAGCATCAGAGATGGCAAAGTCTACATCCACCACATGTCGCCAAGCGGAGGTAAGTATGTCCTGCTTTGCCTGTTTGCTGAGATGTGATACAGAGGTTTGGAAGTTGACGCTGATCACCGGAAAGGAGATAACAGGTGAGCACTTTCCCCAGGAGCTTGTGTCTCCTTTTCTGGGCACCGAACTAAGATGGTCAAATAAGTTACGGGGAAAATACCTGATAGGTCTTGGAGCCTTTCCTGGTTTATCTCACGGATCCCAAACAATGCAGCTCTTTTTGTAAATCGATTTTCGGGGCCAGGAGTGAAAGCCAAGTGGATGATTCACAGTTCTGTGTGTTTGAATGTGAGAACCTTAAGGCAGCAGACGGAGCCACCCCCCTGAGCTGTTAGCTGGACTACAGGGGGCCTGGGAGATGCTCTAGGTGGAGAGGTGATGGAGCCTTTGCACCTTTGCCTGGGGGGTGGTGCCTAGGTAAGGACACAGGTGAGGGGGAAGGCCAGAAAGAGCTCTGAGATGATCTGAGGTTCAGGACAGTGTGTTACCAACTGTGCTGGCTGTCAGTGCCCTCAACCCTGGACCCAGATCTTACTCCCACTGTCAACTCGTCCTGAGGACGGTGGGCGCCTGGCAGAAGTTCAGTATTGGCATGTTGACTGGACCTTCACCATCCTTCCTAAAGGCCCCGTACAGACACTGTCTCCTGGGGGATTCAGGTCATTCTGCTTTGGAGATCAGGAGACAGAAAACACCCAGATCTGTCCATCCTCTTCCATCTGAGTTTCTCATCACTCATATGTTGGTTATTTTCCATCCAAGGCAAAAGCTCTGGTTTCCCAAATGAACTTTGTTTGGAACTTGATCTTGTGTGAATGGAATTTTGATTTATGGATACAATGGGATTTCCTACCAGTTTCCACAACAGTGTGATCTCGGAATTGTTTTACTGGTTGAAGCAAGAAATGAAAGTTTAGAGTTAATATTTTAGTGATGATTCTTGGAAGGAAATTGGGAAGTCTCTGAGGAAAGAGGCTTCCCTTCATCTTTGTTTAGCCCATAGTTCCTGGAGCCGACTCATTGGAAAAGACCCTGATGCTGGGAAAGAGTGAAGGTGGAAGGAGAAGGGGACGACAGCATCATATGGTGGATGGTATCACTGACTCAAAGGACATGAGTTTGAGCAAACTCCAGGAGATGGTGAAGGACAGGGGAGCCTGGCATGCTGCAGTCCATGGGGTTGCAGAGCTGGACCCAACTTAGTGACTGAGCAACAACCTGGCATAGCTCCTGACATACAGTCTCTTACTTAAAGAATATGCACTAAAATGAGTTTATTTTGAAGATGCTGCTTACTATTAGAATGTTATTCGTGTGTGGCGGGGGATAAAGCTTTAGAAAACAGTTAATGCATGTTATGTTCTTTTGGAATCTAAACCTTAGAAATCGTACTGGTTCCCTTTGTGTTTTGTCTCAGCACTTCATTGACCCAACCTCTGTAGATGAACAGAAAATTAATCTCCTCTCCTCATCAGGAGATGAGCATAGATTCTGAAGCTAGATTGTCTGGATTTGAATTCAGCTCCACCAGCTGAGCCATTTAACCTCTCTCTACCTCCTTTTCTTCATTTATAAAATGAGGATATAATGGACTTGTTTTTAGGACGAGTTAAATTATTTAAAGTACTTAGAACTGTGGCTACACACAGGAAGTCTTCTCTAGCTCTCAGATATGGTCATTTTGGGGCTTCCCTGGTTGCTCAGCTGGTAAAGGATCCGCCTGCAATGTGGGAGACCTGGGTTCAGTCCCTGGGTTGGGAAGATCCCCCCGAGGAGGGCATGGCAACCCACTCCAGTATTCTTGCCTGGAGAATCCCCACGGACAGTCCGGCAGGTTTTGCCAAGAGTCAGACACGACTGAGCGACTCAGCACAGACACATGGCCATTTTTACCCAAATAGTCCCTCTTGCTGGTGCACTGTGCTCCTTTAGTATCCCCGGGGGCGCTCTCCGTGGAATGGTTGGGGCGGCTCCATGGGAACTCTCCCATTGTTTTTTCATTTTTTGTTTTCATTTGGCTGCACCAGGACTTACTTGCATCACGAGGCATCGTTTAGTTGTGCTATGCCAACTCTTAGCGTTGGCATGTGGGATCCAGTTCCCTGACCAGAGATGAAAGCGGGCCTCCTGCCTTTGGAGCCTGGAGTCTTAGCCTCCGGACCACCAGGGAAGTCCCAGCCCCCGCTCCCCACCCCCACTGTTAAGTATGCAGGAGATGCCTCAACGTAACAGAGGTTCGATGCCAAGCCCTGCTGTGCCTGGCGTGAGAAAAGCTAAGCACATCCTTTGCCTGGGGCTGTCCTTGGCTTTAAAGTGCAGTGAGAGATTCGTCATCATCGCTGAAGTTCTAGATCAAAGAGGAAATAAACACCTGCCTTCTGGTCCATGTCCACACCTTCAGCGGCAACATGAAAGTAGGTGAGGGAGGCGCTCAGAGAGGCAAGCGGGCGAACCCGTAGTGCTGCTTGCTGTCTCAGCTGTAAGTTTCCCTTACGTGTGGACCACGTGTGCATCTTAGAATGAACTAGCTATATGTTTGCACAGTCACAGACATCTATATTTTCAGCCAGAAATTCTGGAGGATGTGAAGCAGTGGGGGAAATTTTCTGGTTCAATCAAATATGGTAGGTTTTGCAGGGAGATTAAAAAGCACACCAGTCAGGTGCCAGGGTGGTGGTGATGGGTACACAGCTTTATACATTTACTAAAAATCATTAACTGTGTACTTAAAATGAGTGAAATATTTAAAATATTTAAAAAATAGCCACTTAAAAAATAACTTAAAAAAATAACCACTGGGGTCAGAAAAAGGAAACAAGTGTTCATGTCTGCTGTCAGAACTCTTGGCTTTTCTTGGCAATGGTAGAGCAGCTGCAGCAGGGTTGAACGAAACTCTTAGAATCTAGAAGTCTCGTGTCGGCTGGTAGATTTACCTTCCACCCGCCATCCATCTCGCCTTACCCCAAGCACCCGTGGCAGACACTGTCCCCTGGCTTTAATCAGAGCTGCTAGTGGCAAGCGTGTCTGAATTAGAAATGGCAGGGGCGGCGGGAGGTGTAAACTGGACAGCCTTTGGTTGGTGGGGTCCTTATGAGCAGGGGAGACCCTGAAGAGGCAGGAAGCCAGAAGGGCAATGCCAGCAAAAATTTAAAAAGTGAGCGAGTTCTCTAATCCTCATCCTCCAGCCCCAGGCCACACGTGACATACCCGCGAAGGTCTCCACATTCCCACCTCCACACCCAGTGCCCCCTGCTTCCCTCTGGGGTACGTTCTTTCTGCAAGTCCCTGCACCCAACACCCTCCTGCCCTTTCCAAAGCGATTCTCTGAAAGAGGTGCAGATTGGTGATGCTCAGGGAATGGAGACACCTAGGCTGAGGCACCATCAGAGACCTCATGTGTGCTGAGTCGCTCAGTCTTTGTCCTACTCTTTGTGATCCCGTGGCCTGTAGCCCACCAGGCTTCTCTGTCCATGGGATTCTCCAGGCAAGAATACTGGAGTGGGTTGCCATTTCCTCCTTTAGGGAATCTTCCTGACCCAGGGATCGAACTCATGTCTCCTGCATTGCAGGTAGATTCTTTTTTTTTTTTTTTTATTTTAATTGGAGGAAGCACAAGCTGGAACTAAGATTGCTGGGAGAAATATCAATAACCTCAGATATGCAGATGACACCACCCTTATGGCAGAAAGTGAAGAGGAACTAAAAAGCCTCTTGATGAAAGTGAAAGAGGAGAGTGAAAAAGTTGGCTTAAAGCTTAGCATTCAGAAAACTAAGATCATGGCATCCGGTCCCATCACTTCATGGGAAATAGATGGGAAGACAGTGGAAACAGTGTCAGACTTTATTGTTTGGGGCTCCAAAATCACTGCAGATGGTGACTGCAGTCATGAAATTAAAAGACGCTTACTCCTTGGAAGGAAAGTTATGACCAACCTATATAGCATATTAAAAAGCAGAGACATTACTTTGCCAACAAAGGTCCGTCTGGTCAAGGCTGTGGGTTTTCCAGTGGTCATGTACGGATGTGAGAGTTGGACTGTGAAGAAAGCTGAGCGCTGAAAAATTGATGTTTTTGAACGGTGGTGTTGGAGAAGACTCTTGAGAGTCCCTTGGACTGCAAGGAGATCCAACAAGTCCATCCTAAAGGAGATCAGTCCTGGGTGTTCACTGGAAGGACTGATGCTGAAGCTGAAACTCCAGTACTTTGGCCACCTGATGTGAAGAGCTGACTCATTGGAAAAGACCCTGATGCTGGGAGGGATTGGGGGCGGGAGGAAAAGGGGACGACAGAGGATGAGATGGCTGGATGGCATCACCGACTTGATGGGCATGAGTTTGTGTAAACTCTGGGAGTTGGTGATGGACAGGGAGGCCTGGCGTGCTGCGATTCATGGGGTCTCAAAGAGTCGGACACGACTGAGCGACTGAACTGAACTGAACTGAATTACTCTACAATATTGTAGTGGTTTTTGCCATACACTGACATGAATCAGCCATAGGTGCACATGTGTCCCCATCCCGAACCCCCTCCCACCTCCCTCCCCATCCCATCCCTCAGGGTCATCCCAGTGCACCAGCCCTGAGCATCCTGTCTCATGCATCAAACCTGGACTGGCGATCTGTTTCACATATGGTAACATACATGCTTCAATGCCACTTTCTTAAATCATCCCACCCTCGCCTTCTCCCACAGAGTCCAAAAGTCTGTTCTTTACATCTGTGTCTCTTGCTGTCTCACATATAGGGTCATCGTTACCATCTTTCTAAATTCCATATATATGCATTAATATACTATATTGGTATTTTCCTTTCTGACTTACTTCACTCTATATAAAAGGTTCTAGTTTCATCCACCTCATTAGAACTGATTCAAATGCATTCTGTTTAGTGTCTGAGTAACATTCCATTGTGTATATGTACCACAACTCTCTTATCCATTTGTCTGCCGATGGACATCTAGGTTGCTCCCATGTCCCAGCTATTGTAAACAGTGTGCAGGCAGATTCTTTACCACTGAGCCACCTGGGACGCCCATCAGACACCTTCAGGATGAGGTTATATAACTCTGCATCTGCGGAGTTTCCAGGCTGCCTGTGTGACCTGGAGTGAGTGCAGGGGGCTGCTCTCCCCACCTGTCACTCCTGCAGGTGCCTGGGAGGGGTGTGAAGATGTGTCCAGGAGAGGGAGGCAGCGAGCCTCCAGCATCGTTTTCTGTGTCCCACAGGCACGGACATCAACGGGGCCCTGCAGAGGGGCATCCAGCTGCTCAACGACTACGTGGCCCACAACGACATTGAGGACCGCAGCGTGTCCCTCGTGGTCTTCCTGACGGACGGGAAGCCCACCGTCGGGGAGACCCACACCCTCAAGATCCTCAACAACACCCGGGAGGCCGCCCGGGGCCGGGTCTGCATCTTCACCGTGGGCATCGGGGCCGACGTGGACTTCAAGTTGCTGGAGAAGCTGTCCCTGGAGAACTGTGGACTCACGCGGCGAGTCCATGAAGACCACGATGCCCGTGCCCAGCTCATCGGGTCCGTGGTCTGCCTGTGTCCTCAGGGCGAGGGCGGGCAGGGGTGGGCTCAGCCGGAAGCTTGGACGTCAGGCTGGACCCTGAGTCTGTCTGTGTCCTTGGGGTGGGGAGGACAGGCTCAGCGGGAGGCCTGGACGTGAGACTGGACCCCGAATCTGATCGTCAGTCTGTTGACAGGTAGTGTTTCTATGCATCTTAAAGTCAGGCTGATCTGGGTTCACATTCTGGCCCTGACATGACTTCAGGCCTTAAGACCCTCTGTGCCTGTCTTCTCACCTGTGAAATGAGGATTCTGGCCAGATGATAGAATTTAATGAGAAAAACCATGTGAAGTATTGGCAGGACTGTTAGGGATTCTTGAAATTATATCCTGTGAGGATTTGCTAGAATGGATTAGGCTAGGTAAGAAGGAGTATGCATATTCATGGAATGTGCAGCAGTGCCTATACCCATCTGAAGATCAGTGTCTTGCAGCATCTAAATACTGAAGGTAGATTACCCTCATTCACACTGTGTTACTCCAGAAGCAAAACTGAGACCAGTGGGTGGAACTTGCAGGAAGGAAAATCACGATTTACTGCCAGGAGCTCCCTGGTCCTCCTCAGATCACTGGACAAGAGAAGGGGGAGCTTGTGGGGTAGTGAGTTCCCCATCACCAGTGGTATTCAAGCTTCTGCTGCACGGCCTCCTGTCTGAGATGTTCTGGGGGGAATGTTGGACTTGGCTGCTTTTAAGATCAGCACTCCCTCCCCAACAGCCCATGGTTTCCTCTAAGCCCTGTCCTGCTTGCCGCCCGGGCAGGCCCTGATTCTCCCTCTCCATTCCTCCTCTCCAGGTTCTACGATGAGATCAGGACCCCGCTCCTCTCCGACATCCGCGTGGATTATCCTCCCGCCTTGGTGGAGCGTGCCACCAGGACCCTGTTCCCCAACTACTTCAACGGCTCAGAGATCGTCATCGCGGGGAAGCTGGTGGACAGGGCGATGGACCGACTGCACGTGGAGGTCACGGCCAGCAACAGTAAGAAGTTTGTGGTGCTCAAGAAGGATGTGCCCGTGGAGCCCCGGAAGGTGGGGATCGAGGTCCCGCAGAGCCCCAGGCCCAGGGGGCGCGGCCAGGAGGAGCCCAACCCCCTGGAGCGCCTCTGGAGCTACCTGACCCTGAAGGAGCTGCTGAGCGGCTTGCTGCAGAGCATCGAGGAGCCGGAGAAGCAGCGGCTGAGGCAGGAGGCCCAGGCTCTGGCCGTGAACCACCACTTCCTCGCCCCTTTCACATCCATGATGCTGAAGTCAGCACCGCGGACAGAGACCCCGGAGGCCGCCTACGGCATGTCCAGCACGCCCACGGCCACTGGACCCGAAACGGTGATGCAGAGCCTGCGGGGCACACACCTACCGCCAGGTGAGCGCTCACGGGGTCCAGGCTGGGCACCCGCACGGCCCTTTCCGGGTCGTCTCTTTTATTTTCTTGCATTGTAATTTTTATAAGCAATGTTCTATTCCTGCAGCTCCTAGCCACCAGTGGGTTAGCTTGTGTTTGTATTGTTATTATAAACCCTGGATTGCTATAGAGAAGTTCAGGAAGGTAAAGTCAGTCTATCGATAAAGTCAGTCATCAATATTGAGTGCCTATCACGAGCCACAGGAATGAACAGACAAGTAAACAAAGATTCATTTTTAAGGGGCTTTCTGTATGTTTTTAAAGACTTACTCATTTTATTTTGGGGGCTGTGGTGGGTCTTCATTGCCGCACGTGGGTCTTCTCTAGTTGGGGAGAGTCGGGGCTGCTCTCTAGGTGCGGTGTGCGGGCTTGTTTGCGGTGGTTTCCCTTGTTGTGGAGCACAGGCTCTAGGGCACACAGGCTTCCGCACTTGCAGCTCGTGGCCTCAGGAGTTGCGGCTCCTGGGCTCTGGAGTGCGGGCTCAGTAGTTGTGGCGCACGAGCCGAGCTGCTCCACGGCCTGTGGGATCCTTCCCGACCAGGGCTCAAACCGGTTTCCCCTGTGTTTCAAGTCTAATTTTTATCCACTGGACCACCAGGGAAGCCCACCTTTCTATATTTGTAAATACTTTCAGTTATGTCATGTGATGCATATGCTTGATTTTACACAGATAAAAATAAAATTTATATGATAAAATAGGTAAAATATAATGAAATTTTACTATATATTGTATTTTGTTGTTCAGTCACTCAGTTGTGCTCAACTCTTTGTGAGCCCATAGACTGCGGCAGCCAGGCTTCCCTGTCCTTCACTATCTCCCCAAGCTTCCCCAAACTCATATCCATTGAGCTGATGATGCCATCCAACCATCTCATCCTCTGCCACCCCCTTCTCCTCCTGCCTTCAGTCTTTCCCAGCATCAGGGTCTTTTCCAATGAGTCAGCTCTTCTTATCAGGTGGCCAAAGTATTGGAGCTTCAGCATCAGTCCTTCCAATGAATGTTCGGGGTTGATTTCCTTTAGGATTGACTGGTTTGATCTCTTTGCTGTCCAGGGGACTGTCAAGAGTCTTATCCAGCACCACAATTTGAAAGCATCAATTCTTTGGCACTCAGCCTTCTGTATTATCTGACTCTCACATCCATACATGACTACTGGAAGAACCATAGCTGTGACTATACAGACCTTTTTCAATAGAGTGATGTCTGCTTTTTAATACACTGTCTAGCTTTGTGATAGCCCATGTCTTGTATATTTTATGAATTTTACTTTTAATGTTTTCATTTAAATTTTATTTTTAAAATTTTAATTTTGTTGGCAATGAAATATAATTCATGAAATTTTATTTTATTTTAGATATTATTTAAATTATATTAGGAGAAACTAAGTTCTTCTATATAAGAGAATCCAGAGTTGAAACAGAAATTTTTTATTATCTGTCCCAGCACTATTTTTCAGGGGAAATTAGTAGAAACAAGAATAACAGGGACTTCCCTGGTTCTCCAGTGATTAAGAATCCACTTTCCAATGCAAAGGGCACAGATTCAATTCCTGGTCAGGAAACTAAGATCCCACATGCCTCAAGGTGCAGCCAAAAAAAAAAAAAAAAAAAAGGGAAAAGGGCAGGAAAAGTAATTCAAATAAGGAAAGGGTTATATTCTCACTCATATCTGCTTGTGGAAAACAGTACTTTTTTCAGATGTGATGTTTTTATTAACTTCCTGCTGGGTTCACATGTCCTAAGGTGAGGGAATTGACATGAACACCGGGCTTCACGTGATCCTCATATTCTAAACTCTCAGAATCACCTGGAGAGAGTCACGGTGGAGAGAGCACAACCTTAGGATCCGGAGGGTTTCAGCTCGTGGCTCCTCCTAGCCAGCTGTGGCCTGGGGCGGGTTTCTGAGCCTCTCTGAGCTCCTGTTCTCTCACCTGTAAAATGTGGATAGTGATGTCTTTCCTGAAGGGCTGTTGCAAGGATTAATGGGCAGCATAAGTGCATAATGAGTGCTCCACGTATGTTACATACCCTCTCCCATGGGGAGTGCAGAACTAGAAATTTATCGAAAAGTGCAGACCCTGATGGAGAGGTGAAAATTGCTACATCGCATTTTTAGAAAGAGTGGAGCTTGTCTTGGCAAAACTAGGACAGTGTTCATTCTGGTGAAAAGGATGAAGAATAAGTAAGTTGCATGGTGCTGTGAGTTCATGCTACAAGATCTGTGCCACATCCAGGGAAAATGGCTTTTCTGAGTAACATCTTGATTTGATGTTAGTAACTCAAATTTCTACAGCTTCAGGAGATAGCAAACTCATAAAGGACACAGGACTCAGAGAGTCAAGAACACAGATGAGGGAATAACCAACTGATTGAGCAAAAGACTCATTAGACATAAAATTTTCCTGAAGCATCAGTTAGTATTCAGGACAGTTTCCTCCTTTTGTTTAAAGCTCTGATGATTTTTTAATTTTAAGATTTTCTGAGTGTCTGTGACAGCTTAAGGCTCCCAAAGCAGGCATCCAGACTGAGAAGTCACTTCTCCCGTGTGTTTGATCTGATTCTGTCCACGTCCTGCTGATGAGGGGTCAGTTAGAGAAGGGGGCACTTAAAACATTCAGGTACTGTGATCTTCATTTTCTGGGTGCAAAAATCAGTGAAGCAGAAACATCAGAGGAGCATAATCCTGTTAATACAGACAGCCCGAAGCAAGGTATTAACTTTATTTTATTGACAGAAAGTAATTTACTTTCGGGTTATTCTTTAATACTTATTTTTGCTGCTGCTTTGTGAATTGTGTTTACACTCACAGCTCTAGACCTGGATTGTCATGATTATCTTTTTCTTTTACATTTTTGTATCTTTTTGGTTGTTGTAAAGTGCTATTTTACAAAAAAAAAAACATGTTAAATAAAATTTGCCATCATAACCGTTTTTCCATTCTTTTTTTGAAATTGATGTGTAGTTGATTTACAAAGCAGTGTTGATTTCTGCTAAACGGCAAAGTGATTCAGTTAGGCTTATGTACATTCTTTATTTTTAGTCTTTTCCGTTATGGCTTATCATATATTGAATGTGGTTCTCTGTGCTATGCAGTAGGGCCTTGTTGTTTTTCCATTTTACATGTAAAAGCTTACATCTGCTGACCCCAACCTTTCACCCCGACCCCTCCCTCTTGGCGAGGCCAGTCTGTCCTCTACATTGTAACCATTTTTAAGTTTACAGCTCAGTAGTGTCAAGTATACTCACATCCTTGTGAAACAGATCTCCAGAAGCTTTTCATCTTGCAAATCTAAAACTCTGTCCCCATTAAACCATTCTGCTTTCCCCCTCCCCCATAACTATAGATTATTTTCTGCATTTTTCCCTATTATATACACAGAAATCATAGGCAAGAAGAATATTATTTAATTTATAAAGGAATAAAATAGTTACCCCTCCTTATGTTACACCTTCACTTTGTGTTGGGAGGCCAAGCTCCTCCTGTAAAACAAATATTTTTAAATGGTCACAAATGTATTGAAAGCTGTATTTGACTCATCTCAACTCCCTCTATTTCTCACTTCCTCCCCTTCAATAAATAACAATGGTGGGTCTCTTCTTTCTCCTCTCTAGGACCTGCTGTCAAGAAACCATACAACCCAAGGATTAAAATCTCCAAAACATCAGGTAAAGGAAAGAATATGCTTGTGTGTGACTGAGAGTTGAGATATTTAGGACTAAGATGACCGGGAATTCCCTGAAGCCAGTTAGATCAGCTCACAGAACAAGATGTGAGGACCTATATTTATCTCGTTCAAGTGTGCAGCGTGGGGGCAGTTCTCAAAACTCCGATTGTCATTACACCATCACAGAGCTCCTGAGGACCCTAGCAGGAGCCCTGGTAGATGGATGAGTTGGACAGAGGCACACGTGCATCGTGATTGAGTTGAAAAGATGTTTGTTTTTAGAGATCTGAAGTATGCTCGCTTCCAGCTTCTGGTGTTAACAGTTATCTGCCACAGTGCACACTTTTTAAACATTATTATTTTATTATTTTCATAATCCTTGGCTTTGGAAGGGAAGCACAGATAACAATACCACAAAATTTCCCTTGGCCAGCTTCCTGGGATTATAATAAAAATCTGGATGAAATAATGACCCACGCTCTGGGCTTTATTACTCAAATGTACACATCTGCCTTTGTAAGCCCTCCTTATTGCCTTGCTGCTGATGTACCAGGCATGCAGGTTCGCATGGCCAGGGACAGTCTGGAGATTAGGTCTGGATAGAGGAAACACACCATCCCCGTGGGTAGGGTGTCATTCCTTTGAGCACACACGTGTTATGGAATGCAAGAAAACTTTCCTCTTGGATACTGAGCAGAGTAATGACTTCCAGACCTCTCCTCTCTTTTTTTGGAGCAAGCAACATCTTCCCTTGTAAAGGAATTTGGAAGATTTGAGTACAAATGATGTGGTGTGAGCACAAGACGCTCTCAGAGAACTGCCACACAGTTATATGCATACCCACAGAGTGCCAAAAATATGCACTTTTCTCTTCACTGGTTGTCATTTTTTCATATACAAAAGACCAGTACCTTGTATGTCTTCATTACATTGTCCTGCACTGGATGCTTGAGGCACTTTACAGTGAGATCAACCAGATTCTTCCAGAGGCCCCTCTGAGTCAGGCTGCGGGCAGAATGGGTTTCTCAGCAGTTCCTCCAAGACCCTTAATTGGCTCATAGCTTGAAAACACTGAACTCCTGGCCCACCACCTCTCACCATGTACAAATGGTGGAATATATACATATACAGGAAAATCAGCCCTGTACATGCATATGCATGCACACATGAAGTGGAGGGGAATTCAGGAACGTGTTGTGTTTGGTATAGAGAGAGAAACGAACTCTCCAATCTTGTGGGAAAAGTGAACGGATGTAGACTCTTGGGAAATATTTTGTCTGTACAGTGAGAGGCAAGACCATCCATCTTTAGCAGAGGTGAAGATGAGGGGGACAGGCGAGGCGCAGGGCCGGCCAAGCGTCGTGGTCTCATCTGCGGACAGAATTTCGAGAGCGGTAAAGGCAGTGGGACCCAGAGGAGGAGCTGCCGTGGCCATTGCTGACTGGCGGCCTTCACTTGTCACCAGCTCTAAATTGGGCTCAGTCACTGCCGCTCACGCAAGGCTGTGTCCAGCTGGCTCTGGGAATGTCTCCAGGGCCGTGGCTCTCCAGTCACAGGACAGGACGTTCTCATCCACATCTCCTCACTAGGCTGGTCTGAGCCGACAGAAGGGGTTAGGAGCAGCCACATAGGGAATTGAAGAATGTGGGTTCAGTAGTCACGGGTGTGTAGAGTGAGAGGCCCCGCTTACTGCAGTTGACTGCGGTCAGTTGACGGCAGTGTCGTGACAGGAGCATTGGATTTGAATTTAGGGGACCCGCATTCAAATATTTACTTTCCACAAGCTACCTGTGTAACCACTGCATCTCTTCATCTCCCAGTCATCTTCCTCGTGTTGGCACAGAGGACCTGCCATTGACAGGGTTAAGTCAACAACATAAGAGACATAGGAAAAGAGTGCTTACACAGGGAAGGTGCCCAATCAATGTCTCTTCTTTCTTTTTCTCTTCCGTTCTTGCCCTGGCCTGGCAGCGGATGGAGACCCTCACTTTGTTGTGGATTTCCCCATGAGCAACCTCACTGTCTGTTTCAACATCGATGGAGAACCCGGGCACATCCTGAGGCTGGTCTCCGATCACGTGGACTCCGGTGAGTTCTGCCGGGAAAGTAGATCTTGCGTTTGGGGACTAGAAATAAATAAATCCTAATCTTTGCATTTTACCCCACTCCTCATGGTGTCATGGCATCTGGTCCCATCACTTCATAGCAAATAGATGGGGAAACAGTGGAAACAGTGACAAACTTTATTTTGGGGGGCTCCAAAATGACTGCAGATGATGACTACAGCCATGAAATTAAAAGACGCTTGCTCTTTGGAAGAAAAACCATGACCAACCTAGACAGCATCTTAAAAAGCAGAGACTTTAAATTTGCCAACAAAGGTCCCTCTAGTCAAAGCTATGGTTTTTCCAGTAGTCATGTATGTATGCGAGAGTTGGACTATAAAGAAAGCTGAGCACTGAAGAATTGATGCTTTTGAACTGTGGTGTTGGAGAAGACTCTTGAGAGTCCCTTGGACTGCAAAAGATCCAACCAGTCCATCCTAAAGGAAATCAGTCCTGAATATTCATTGGAAGGACTGATGCTGAAGCTGAAGCTCCAATACTTTGGCCACCTGATTCGAAGAGCTGACTCATTTGAAAAGACCCTGATGCTGGGAAAGATTGAGGGCAGACGGAGAAGGGAATGACAAAGGATGAGATGGTTGGATGGCATCACCGACTCAATGCACATGAGTTGAGTAAACTCTGGGAGTTGGTGATGGACAGGGAGGCCTGGTGTGCTGCAGTCCATGGGGTCGCAAAGAGTCGGACATGACTGAGTGACTGAACTGAATCTTTGCATTTTACCCAACTGCTTATGGTGTCCCAGAGTCTTCAAATCAGGAGTAGTGGAAACTAGTGGATCAGAAATACTGTGTCGGGGCCACACGAGAGTTTTTGGAACAAAAGCAGACAAACATGTCAACCCCCTTTTATTTTCTATTTTTTAACTTTTTTTCACTTTTAAATTTTTGTTGGAGTGTAGTTGATTTACAATGCTGTTTTAGTTTCAAGTGTGCAGCAAAGTGAGTCAGTTCTACACATACATATATCCACTCTTTTTTTTTTTTTAGATGCTTTTCCCATATGTTGTTGTTCAGTTGCTAAGTTGTGTCTGACTCCTTGCAACCCCATGGCCTGCAGCACGCCAGGCTTCCCTGTCCTTCATTATCTACTGGAGATTGGTCAAACTCATGTTCATTGAGTCAGTGATGCCATCCAACCATCTCATGCTCTGTCATCCCCTTTTTCTCCTGCCCTCAGTCTTTCCCAGAATCAGGGCGTTTTCCAATGAGTCAGCTTTTCCCATCAGGTGGCCAAAGTATCGGAGCTCCAGCTTTAGCATCAGTCCTTCCAATGACTATTCAGGGTTGATTTGCTTTTGGGTTGACTGGTTTGATCTCCTTGCTGTCCAAGGGGCTCTCAAAAGTCTTCTCCAACACCACAGTTCAAAAGCATCAATGCTTCAGTGCCCAGCCTACTTTGGGCTTCTTTTTCCCATACAGGCCATTACAGATTATTGAGCAGAGGTCCCTGTGCTCTATAATAGGTCCTTGTTGTTTATCTGTTTTATATATAGGCGTGTGTATATTTTCATGGAAACCTGCATCAGCTTCTACCCAGGACATTGGCCAAAAATCACTTACACGTTCCTGCATTCATTCATTCATCCACTAGGCACTGAGTGGTCCCTCCATGATAGCTGAAGTTCTTGGCTCTAGAAACACAGGAGAAGCAGGAAATTCTAATGAGATACCTTCATGTGAAATTGGGGTCACTTTGTCTAACCGCTGCTCTCTTCCCCTCCGCCTTTGAGGTGTGACAGTGAATGGAGAGTTGATTGGGGCCCCTGCTCCTCCAAACGGCCACAAGAAGCAGCGCACCTACTTCCATACCATCACCATCCTCGTCAACAAGCCGGAGAGATCTTACCTGGAGATCACACCCAGCAGAGTCATCGTGGATGGTGGGGACAGGCTGGTCCTCCCCTGCAACCAGAGCATGATCGTGGGGCGCCGGGGGCTGGAGGTGTCCGTGTCCGCCAATGCCAACGTCACCGTCAGCATCCAGGGCACCGTGGCCTTTGTCGTCCTCCTCCACCTCTACAAAAAGCCAGCCCCTTACCAGCGCAACCACCTGGGCTTCTACATCGCCAACAGCCAAGGCCTCTCCGGCAACTGCCATGGCCTGTTAGGTAGGTGGCTGCTCCCCATGACGGTCACAGCACAGAGTTCAGTTTCCCAAGGTGAGCCTGATGCTGCCCATGCCTTGCCTTGACTGAGAAATTCCAGAGAATTGTGGTCTCGTTTTTAAATTTATATTTTGGCTGTGCTGGGTCTTTGTTGCTGGGTGTGGGCTTTTCTCCGCTTTGGCAAGCGGAGGCTGTTCTCCAGTTGCAGCATTGCTCAGGCTTCTCATTGTGGTGACTTCTCTTGTTGCAGAACATGGGCCCTAGACACATGGGCTTCAGTAGTTGTGGTGCATGGACTTGGTTGCACCAAGGCATGTGGGATCTTCCCAGACCAGGGATCAAACCCGTGTCGCCTGCATTGGTAGGATTTTTAACCACTGGATCACTAGGGAAGTCCAGGAATGTGGTCTTTATGTAGCTTATGAAAAGTCTATTTCTTTCTCTATCTCTTTTTTTTCCTTTTTAACCATTTTTTTGTGCCTTGCCTGGTGGCTCAGACGGTAAAGAACCTGCCTGCAATGCAGGCGACCTGGTTCAGTCCCTGGATCGGGAAGATCCCCTGGAGAAGGCAATGGCTACCCACTCCAGTAGTCTTGCCTGGAGAATTCCATGGACAGAGTTGCTGCAGATGGCAAAATTTCATGCTTTTTCATGGCTGAGTAGTATTCCATTGTATATACACCACATCTTTGTCCATTCATCAGGTGATGGACACTCAGGTTGCGTCTCTATCTTGGCAGTTGTAAATAGTACTGCTGTGAACTTTGGGGTGCACGTATCTTTTCAAATTAGTGTGAAAAGTGTATTTTTTGCTTCATGACTGCTTTCTAGAGTAGGTATGAACTTTACTAATTTTCACTCACTTTCGGGGAAAGGGAGCAAAGAAGTGGGGCATCCTTCTCTCCAGGTCTGGTTCTTTACTCTCAGGGAGAATGTGCAAACCCAGGGCCACCCACAGCCCAGCACCTGGTGGGCCGGCTCTGCCTGGCTTCCCTCCACGTGCCATTTCATGTGGGCCCTTTGCCCACAAGTAAGGAGGGGGCCGCTGCCAGGGCCGGGTTTAGAAAGCAGGGTTTCCTGGCACTCGACCTGGATGTCTCAGTGCAGCCTGCCTGCCAAGCGCGAGCTCCTCTCGTGGACACACAGCTTGGTTTCCTCGGCCTCTGTGATGTCCTGGCTTGACCTGGAGAATTCTGACACTGCTTCCCACACCCACTAAGTGCACACACGGATGAGGTCCCCGGAGTGGGGAGCGGGGCGGGGAAGACTGGACCTTCCTTCTCTGTTTATTCACCCCCATCTCATCCTCCTGCCTGGGTATCTGTGTTTCTGTTTTATAATTTTCACATGTTTATTTTTGGCTGCGTTGGGTCTTGGCTGCTATGTGGGCCTTTCTCTAGTTGCAGTGAGTGGGGGCTACTCTCTGGTTGCAGTGCTCAGGCTTCTAGTTGCAATGGTTTCCCTTGTGGCCAAGCTCAGGCTGTAGGGCGAGTGGGCTGCGGGAGTTGTGGCTGCCAGGCTCTAGAGCACAAGCCCAATAGTTGTGGAGCACGGGCTTACTTGGTCCAAGGTATGTGGGATCTTCCTGGATCCGGGATTAAACCAATGTCCCCTGCATCAGCAGGTGGATTCTTTACCACTGAGCCACCAGCCACCCTGGTTTTGTTTGTTTATTTAAATATTTATTTAGCTGCACCAGTTCTTAATTGCAGCATTCAGGATCTAGTTCCCTGATCAGGGATCAAACCCAGGCTCCCTGCATTGGGAGCTCGGAGTCTTAGCTACTGGACCACCAGGGATGCCCCCCGGGGAATCTCTGTTTACAGGTGGGACATCTTTCCTGTGTTGGCTTCCAGAAGTGGAGGCTGTGACGAACATAGCCTCAGATCTCTCCTCTCTACACCCCCTCCAGACACTGGTGCAGGTGCCTCTGGGCGGGTCCAGCCCAGGATCGCAGTCACCACCTTGACAATGACGTCATACATCCCCTTCCTCTGGGTCACATCTGGGCATATGTCGGTCACCAGCACCCAAATCGAAGTCAGGTGTTGTTCAACTGCGTTGCTCGCACTTGACCTAGACCTGATGTCTTTTGTGCCCTCTCAGGTCAATTCCTGAAGCAGGAGGCCAGACTCACAGGGCTCAGCAAGAGCCCTGCCCATCCTCCGGTTCCCGAGGCAGGGGAGAGGTCGGAGGCCGTCCTTGAGGTTAAAGGCCACCAGGTCCCGGTGGTCTGGAAGCAGAGGAGGATCTACAACGGGGAGGAGCAGGTGGACTGCTGGTTTGCCCGGAACAACGCTGCCAGCCTGATCGACGGGGAGTACAAGGACTACCTGGCAGCCCATCCTTTCGACTCCGAGACCACCTTCGGCCCCGGCCCCTCCCAGGGGCTCTGATGGCACAGCCGGCACGCAGGAGTGCACGGCAGGGGACCCTGTGGCCTGGCTCTCGGCCGGTAGCCACCACCCTGACCTTAGTCCTAGTGGCGGGGAGGTCTGCCGTCTGCTTGAAAAGAGAGTCGGGTCAGGCCCCTGAAGGGAGGATGGGATTTTCCCCTTTCCCCACCTCCCTCATCTCCAGTAGAGAAAGATGGTGGCACCAAGGGACCAGTCACAGCTAAAAGCAAGTCTCTATCTTGTCCCATCTGGCTTGTCCACCTCACCACCGACCCTAAGGTGACTGATGAAGGAAGGTCTGGTCTGTGTTCTCTGTGGAAATGGCCAAGTTCAGGCACTCTGCTCTGCGCCTCATACTAATGCTAGGGATCTCTCCTCCTAGTCTGGCTGCGTCCTCCAGACATGCGGCCAACCTCTGCCTCAGGGGAGCCTTTCCCTGGGCTCAGCGCCCCCAGTATTGCAAACAGCACACAGACTGGATCATTGTAAACCCCTCGGCCTGGCTTTAGCAGAGGATTTTCTTCTGCTGTGATGTATTACCCTTGAAAATTTGTTTTCATTTAAAAAAAAAAATCAATTCAAAATAGAAACACTGCATTCCAGATACCAACATTCTTCTAACAGGCTCTGTAAACCCCTTGTCTTTTGCTGGTGAAATTCTCCTATTTATTCCGGAAAGCTGATAATAAAAAGGGCGGCCCACGTGGGAGTATTTCACTGGCCCGTCTCGGAGCTGGAGTGCCGGCCAGCTGCACGATGAATCTTCTACTTGGCTCTTCCAGCCTGGTTTGCTCGAGGTCCCCAGGAGGCGATGAGTTAGGCTCTTGCAGACGGGGAGGGATTGGATCAGCCCAGAGCTGACCTACAGGGATCAAACTCTCAGCAGGAGGCATGGACGATGGGCTTACAGATCTAAGGGGCCCACATCCCAGACCCTCGAGGCTGGAAGTCAGTGTGAGCGAGGGGCTGGGGACACATGTGATTCCATCAGGACAGGTTACAGTCAGGGGTCGGGGATGATCTCAGAAGTCAGTGACATCACCCTCCTTCTTGCAGGAGCTGTGAAGCCTGCTACGTCATCAGGGGGATGGGAGGCCGGTAGTGGCCTCCGGATGTCTTTTCTTACCCCCAGCTTGTGCTCCGCTTGGTCTTCTCTGGACCACAGCGGTCGTCCTGTAAGTCTGGCCCTCACAGCAGTCGGGGCACACACGGACACGGAGGGCCCGGCAGCCGGCAGTGGGGACGGAAAGATTTGGGTCAGAGAAATGGAATATTTTAATGGCAGACTGAATAGAATAAAGGCTTTTGTGCTGGTTTCATGGCGGTCCCATCCAGGAGGGAGTGACTCTAGAACTTCATACCGTATGGAAGCCAGCAGCACTTGGAGAGAAATCAGAGTTAAGAAAATTGTTTATCATCTTGGCCCTCCCGTGGGAAACATGTGGGCAGCACCATGAGCTGCCCGTGTTTCTGCGGACCAGGCTCCTGCAGGAGGTGAAGGTGGTGCTGGGGCTGAGCCGGGGGCTGCGGGCTGGAGGGGTGGTCGGTTCTGCCTCGGGGTCTCCGAGCCTCTCCACTCCGGGAGCCCACCAGCCCAGAGCCAGCAGCTGTCTTATTTTGGACTCAACTTGGCTGCCTCTTCCCATGCCCGCGGTGTGAACGCACCAGTCCAGGCCGCCGACAGCTGATTCCATATTTCAGAGGGAGAGGAAGAGTGGGAGGCGGGCTGGGAGGGGCCTGGGCAGGCTCTGCAGGGTCCTTCCTGTTCCGTAGACCTCGGCCCCAGCTGGGCAGACAACCCTGCGGCCACCGGGCCAGGAGCCAGGCTCTGTGTTCCAGGCGTGGCCTCAGCTGCAGACAAGACAAGAAGCTATTCCTGCAGAACTAGATACTACAATGAGGCGCCCCTCCCTTACTCACCTATTCAGGGAGAAAAAAAATCCATTTTGTAAAAGTATTAGGTTGAAATTTCATTTTAACATTTTTACTTTAGATACATCCCACTTTTCTTTCTTCTCCTCTTCCATTGTATATCTTCTCTTTTTTCTTTTTTGCAAAAAGTATGTACTAGGACATTTCCTGTTTCAGCCAGAGACTATGAGATTTGTGGGCCCCAAACTCCACACCAAAGTTACCCTTCAGGTTTTTTTTTTTAAACTTGATTGAAAAAAATGTCATATTTTCTGTTGTTCACGTGTGTCGTGAAGCGCAAGATCTTTTCAAATAAACTTAAGTCCCCTACATACAAACGAGTTCCGTTCTGAGAGCGCATTTGTAAGTCCAGTTTGTTCATCAGTCCAGGTGGGTCCAGGTACCCAACTAACACAATCGGCTATATAGGACTGTACTGTAATAGATTTATAATGCTTTTCACTCAAATAGTACATAAAAAAGAAACACAAAAAAGAAAGCAACTATGCTCCAATAAAATTAATTTTAAAAAATAATTGTTAAGAAATGAGACATTTTTAATCTTAGAGTACTTTGAAAAGTACAAAAGTACAGCTGGCATAGGGAAGCACATGTGAATCTTTGAAAGCTCGTCAGCTCACAACTTGAAGGTCTGTATGTAGAGGACTTACGGTAAATGCAGTGGCAAGGGGGGATTCTGTTCTGCAGGGCGGGACACGGAGGCAGGGGGCAGGTGGGTGATTTCCCCCCACATCATACAAGACCTAGAGCAGGACCAGGCTGAGTCTCCAGAATGCATTCATTAGCTTTGATGCACTGTCGTCATCTGGACAATCATTTATTTTCCTTGAGCATTTAAAAATAATGTGGGGTCAAGGATACTCAATGAGCAGTTCAACGAGCTAGAGAAGTCTGTTGCAATAATGAGGGTTTAAACCTCAAGTTAGTTCATCACTATTGTCAATGAGTCCTAACTATTGCTAGGCTGGGCTCTCTGGCAAGCCTCCAACCCTGGGTTCCTAATCCTCTCCCTCACCTGAAAAAGAGAGGCATCTCCATGTGTTGTCTTTAAGGGCCTCCAGATGTAGTTTCACATTCCCTGAATAAAACGGACTGAAGTTCTCTACTCATTAGATGCTTTATCTTCCATTTGCCTTTTCGCTGGATTACTAGTTTAGGATGCAGGGCGTATGCGTTGGGAGGACAACCCTTCCTGAACCTTCATCACTCTGGGCCGCGTGGTGCTGGTCTCTGGGAGACATCACCTCTGTTTCTATCAGATGAAACATTAGGTCTTTAGTTGAATCAGGTGTCCCCGCAGGTGGACTACAGACAGGTTTCATTTTCTTTACGTTTATATCTTGGCTGTCCTGAGTGCTATGGGCAGAAAGTTTGTGTCCCTCTGAATTCATGTGCTGAAGCCTAAATCAGACTCCCAAGGTGATGGCACTAGGAGGTGCGATACTAGGGAAGGGATGAGGGCGTGAGGATGGGGCCCTTGTGATGGGATTGGTGGTTGGTGGTTTAGTCGCTTAGTCATGCCCGACTCTTGTGATCCCGTGGACTGTAGCCCACTGGGCTCCTCTGTCCATGGGATTCTCCAGGCAAGGATACTGGAGTGGGTTGCCATTTCCTTCTCCAGGGGATCTTCCCAACCCAGGGATCGAACCTGAGTCTCTTGCATTGCAGACAGATTTTTTACCACTGAGCCACCAGGGAAGCCCTTTGTGACAGGATTAGTGCCCTCTAAGAAGAGACATGAGAGAGATGTTTTTCTATTCTCCACCCTTTGAGCACTAGAAGGAACACCTTCCACCTTCTAAAATCAAGAACTGGGCTCTCATCAGACACCAAATCAGCTGGCACCTTCATCTTGGATTTCCCAGCCTCCAAAATTGGGAGAAATAAATATCAGTTGTATAAGCCACATTCTCTATGGCATTCTTTTTTTTTTTTTAAGATTTATTTGTTTATTTCTGGCTATGCATGTTCTTCATTGCTGCGAGCAGGCTTTCTCTAGTTGTGGCGAGTGGGGCCTCCCTTCACTGTGGTGTGCAGGCTTCTCACCGTGGTGCTTTCTCTTGTTGCTGAGCATAGGGTATATGTGGGCTTCAGTGATTGCAGCTTGAGAGCTCTGGAGCCCAGGCTCAATAGCTGTGGTACCCGGGTTTAGTTGCTCCAAGGCATGTGGATCTTCCCGGATCAGAGATCAGACCCATGCCACCTGCATTGGCCGGTGGATCTTCAACCACTAGGGAAGCCCCTGTGGTATTCTGGATTGAGCAACCTGAGCTGACCTAGACGCTGACTCATTTAAGATGTGAATTCCTTTTCTTTTCTTCAAGCTATCCCAAATGTATACAATGTTACTACTAAATCCACAGGACTCTTGGAACCATTCATGCATGATCCAGCTAAAGTCAACAGCAAATAAAAACACAGCTAAGCAAACACTTAGAATTGTGACTTTAAATATTTATTCTCTTCAGTTTAAAATAACAAGTAAGGCACGAGCTAGTTCACCTTCAAGAAGCATTTTCCTTCCACAAAAAATTTGTAAAAGAATAACATATAAAAACAAACAACACCTTGGTGTATTTGTTTTGAGGGGAAATGACTAGAGAGAATAAAACTTGTTGATTCTAACTACACCGTTTGTAGGAATTTCTGAATTCCATAGAAATATATATAAATAGAGCAAGTGACTTGACCCTGGAAGAATCATGTGGAAACAGGGCAAATTGCTGTATGGAACAGCCAATGTACATCAGCCATCTCTGACCTTTTATTAAACTGTGAAATTCATAGAGAAGTGCCTTAAGCTTCAGTCCCTTACCTTCCAGGGGTGTGGGCATCCCAACCCTTTTATCACCTTCTTCTTGGGTCACTCGCCTGCCCACTTGCTCAGTACTTCTGCCACTGGCTCAGGGCATTTCTCAATTGTGGTTTTGGCATTTCTACCTCCAGTTCCTGAGGTCCTGCCAGATCTTGCTTAGATGTTAGATTCTGAATCAGAACCAGAGCAGACCTACAGAAGGAGTGAGGCTGTGTTAAACAGAAAACCAGCCAACGCTTTATCTTGAGGGCATGAAATCAGCCTCTCCCGGTTTTGGCTTCGGCTTCGTCTCTAATGAAGGGGCTGAACAAGGTAACATGCTCGGATCCCGTGATCTTTATCTTCTGACAGCATGGAAATCCTGCCAGAGAACTCTGCAGAGACCCAGCTGTGAAGGGAGGCAGGAGGTGGGGAAAATGTTCCAAAGATGGAGTGTGTTCAGCTGCAAGGAAGAAGTGCGCATTCAGAGGCTCCCACAGGAAAAGTCTTTTCTGCAATGTTAAGCAGCTGGGGACAGCTTATGGATCGAAGTCATCTTCATACACCGTTCAGTTTTTGACTGATGCCCTGTAGATTCAGGGGCTACTGAGACCCCATGGTGCATGATGCTGGGTGGACCTGCAGATTCCTGTCTCCCTGCACCCTGGCTGGGTCTGTCTCCAGCCCCGCATCCTTCACTTGTGCGCCAGGTATGGATGCCCCGGGAAATCACAGAGCTCTGCCGTAGGTCCCTTCAACCAGCCGGACTCCTGCTGGCCTTCAGCAAGACTTAATGTTTTTCTTGGAGCGCATCGGCCTCCATGGCACCTGTGTTCTGCTTCAGCTTTCTAGACTGCCTCACTCCACAGCTCTCCGCAGAAATTCACCTCCTTCTGTGCCGAGGAAACTGTAGAGGGACCGCCCCCCATCATTACTGTGTCTCATAGCATCCCCATCTCCTGCCTCCCAGGGTAACGGTCCACCTTCTTCCGGGCTCCATTCTTCTTGCTCCCTCCGTGCACTTGTCTCAATGATTTCTTGTCTTTCTAGAATCTCTAGACTCCTACTCCCCAGAGGTTCTTCCTTCTTGGATTCAGATACCCTTCCAGAAGTCTCCAGTGCATGTCGCTGGCCAGGCTCCATGGGGCTCCCCCTGTGGTCTTTTATCTCACTGTCAAGCTCGTGCTAGTGGTCGGTGTTTGAACCCTCTTTTATTAAGATTTTTTTTTAAACGGGGATCATTTTTAAAGTCTTTATTTAATTTGTTACAATATTACTTCTGTTTTGTGTTTTGGTTTTTTGGCCACGAGGCGTGTGGGATCTTAGCTCTCCGACCAGGGATCCAACCCGCACCCCCTGTGTTGGAAGACGACATCTTAACCACTGGACCACCAGGAAGTCCTGAACCCTCACTTTTTCACCTCCTAGTCTGTTGCTTAAGTCATCAAATTTAGCTTCTGTCTTCACCACATTCATTAAACTTTGTCTTAGATGTCAAGTTACCATTTCTGATGTCCGGTTCCTGTGATGGGTATCTCCAGCCTTTTCCATGCAACCATGTCGACCTCTTCCTCTTTTTTGAAATGTTAGATCCCATTGCTTCTCTTAGCTGATTAAAATTTCTTCCTAGTTTCCTTTGCTACATATCGTTCCTCCTACCAACCTGTGGATGTCCCCCAAGGTCATACTGGTCCTTTTTAATTTTTTTTCTTTTTCTTTTTGGCCAAGCCATGTGGCTTTCCCTGACCCGTGGCCCTGCAGAGGACATGCGGAGTCCTAACCCCAGGACCACCAGGCAGGTTCCCATACTGGTCCTTTATAGTCCCCACTCCCGCCTTTACAGTCTCACTTCTGGTCTCAGCATCTGACTTGACATGGACTTGAGAGCGCTTCCCTTCTGTTATTCTGGCATCAGCTCAAATTCAGGAGTAAACACAAACTTTCCATGTTCGAAGTGGTTGGTGGTTTAGTCACTAAGTCGTATCTGACTCTTTTCAACCTGATGGACTGTAGCCCACCAGGCTCCTCTGTCCATGGGATTTCCCAGGCAAGAATACTGGATTCGGCTGCCATTTCCTTCTCCAGGAGAGCTTCCCAACCCAGGGATCGAACCCACATCTCCTGAATTGCAGGCGGATTCTTTACTGACTTGGCCATCAGGGAGGCCATCTTCAAAGTGTCTGTATATGGATTAGAGAGATTTGAGATCTGGGAGGAAAGGAAGCAGTTCTGGCACAATCTTTTAAAATTTTGATTGTTGCAAATAAAGGTGGAAATGTCTATGTGTGTGCGTGCGTGTGTGTATGTGTATATCTTTGGTACGTTTCCTAGACCAATTCAACGTTTATTTTTATTGACACAGAGTTCTTCCTGAAAGCTCTCTGTTAATCATATTATTTTCTCAAAACAACAGCTGTGTTTGTATAAGTGAAGACTCCATGTCCTGATTGCTCACTGGAAATTTCTGCTTATAAAAAGATGAAAATCGCAGGTCCTAAGTTTATCAATGCATCAATTAAGTCACTTCATTGTAGTACAAGTACAAAATGCATCCTAAATGTGTGTGATTTTTGAAAGAAATACACTTTATTTGAAATGTATGGGGTGATGTAGAAAATACAGCACTGCAGATAACTTGAGTGTGAATAAATGTCTGTATGGTAGACACGCACTGCTACATCTGGAACATTTCCTGCCCAAAGTCTTCTCGGGGGCTAGGATCCTTCCTCCTGAAGATAACATAACCTGTCTACCTGTTATACAATGTTATGAAAGAAACAAAGCTTTACAGGGGAAAACAGAAACAGTATGTCTGAAGGCTCAGTTCCAACCTGAAGTGTATTTGCTTTTGAAAAAGGCTGGATTCTAAGGATATTCTAGAAACTAAACATTCTTCTAAGTTGGAAGTAACTATTTATCCTTTCGATCTCTTCATTGGCCTGGCCTGGGAAACTTAATAAGACTTTAAGACCTTGTGATGAAAATATAGGATAAAATTGTGTATATTATTGAAAGACAATAATACTTGAAATTGTTCCTGCAAGTTTCACAGAAGAGAAATCTGAGCAGAAGAGAAAATGCTTCAGAGCAAGTACATTCATTTATTCATTCACTGGACTCATGGAAATGGGTGCTAGCCATATGGAGGGGACAGAGGGCCCCCTGGCCTGCCCTAGAGATAACTTTGTATTCAATTAGTTACAAACACAGGCAACAGTCTGCCCTTAAAAAACTCAGGAAAAAAATGTGGGTGGGAAGGGGTTTTAAAAAGAAGAGACTGTTTTCAGCCTGGGTAGAAGAGGCGCTGGCCTTGGATCTGGGTTATACAGAACAGTGAGGAAAGAAGGGGGAAATGTCTAGGAACATTGTATATAATAACATTTGTTCACAATAAAAACATTATAAAGGCAAGGGAATAAATTGCGTAAAGGAACTAAAATTTCAGGGAGATGGCCTGACCAGCCCTCATCACAGAGCTAGTATCTGGGCTTCCCTGGATGCAGGAACTCTGCTCTTCTCATGACCCTGAGATGCTCTGGACCAATCAGGAGCAGCTTCCACAGTGACGGCCATGACGCTGGACCACGGGGCAGGATCCCACCAGTGTGTATTGGCTGAGCATCACAGGGCAAAAAGTAAGGCTGGGGAAGGGGGGCTCTTTTACATGTCTCTGAATGCACTGGTTTCAAGACTGCTTTTTCTCTCTAAAAGCCGGTGTCCCTCCCATGGAATGTTGGACTGCTTTTTGCCACCCGTCTGGGCTTGAAGTGGGCCGGGAATTCTATGGGCTGGAGATACAGGGTTGCTCCAAGTTCGTCTTTCTCTTCTTTAGAAACGACATCATAGAAAATATCTCACAGTCAAGTAGCTCCCTGAAACAAATTGTCCTCCGTGTGAAGGACATAGACACACATCTGGGGAGTTGGGGCAAGGAGAGCCCTCTGAAGAAGGGGGTCCCACCCCACCCTCCAGCCACTTAAATTCACAGAAATGGAGACAGGACTCATGTGTACATCCGGTGGCTGCTAAATGTCACTCGTCTTCCTTGGGAGAGGCGCAGACAATGCAGCCCTTGATGTGATTAATGAGCCTCTGGCCGCTCCTGGCAGAGAGAGACTCAGGCTGAGGTGGTGGAAGCACCAGGAACCTCCCTTTTATCTGTCAGACACTCACCAGCATGCCCATGGAGGCGATAAGCGAGGCTGAGGGCCAGAGAGAAAGAAACCAGAGCCTACACCAACTCAGATCAGGGTCGGTGGGCTGGAGAGTGGACTGTGGGAGGTGCTCTGCTGGGAGGACTCCCCTGGCCTGGAGGTCAGATACCTGGGGAGGGAGTCTCCCGGGTCCCTGCCCAACCTCATGTGCGCGTCCTTCATCGTGGGATCACGTGGGCCATGCACAATTGAATGAGGCTCTCCACAGGTCCTGCCGGCAAGCGCTGGCTTCTCTTTCCACCCCATCCCCTCTTGCTTCCCTGCCCTTTGCCTGGGGTATTCCCGGCCCCCGCCCCGACCCCATGGACTGAGACCCATGAGGGCATTTAGGTCCTATCACCACAGCCTGATCCGCTTGCCCATGTCCATCGTCACCCACAGCCATTTCTGTTCCAGGCACCTCCGTCCTAGAGTCCGGAGGAAGAGTGAGTGGGGAAGGCTGGAGAAGTATGGCTGCAACTTGCCACTCATTAGGGAACCAAAAGAGTCTCGACAGGTCACAACAGCTAGATTTTTCTTTCATGTTAGTTTTATGAATTTATTTCATGTATTCACAGAAATTCAAAGTTGCATGTACAGGATGTTACCGCTTTCTAAATGGCCATCTTTTCTTTAGATACTGCTAAACAACCATCAGAAGACTTCCAGTGGCTTGAAACTTTGCTTTTCAGTGCAGGGGGTATGGGTTCAATCCCTGGTCAGGAAGCTAAGATCCCACATGCCTCGAGGCCGAAAAAACAAAACATAAAACAAGCAATATTGTATGAAATTCAGTAAAGACTTTAAAAATGGTCCACATTGGGGGAAAAAAAAAAAGAAGACCTAAAAAAAGAAAATTTTAAAAAATTTAAAAATAAATTAAAAAAAAAAAGAAAATAGCCACCAAGGGCATATTAATTAATACCTCAGTTTACAGCTGTTATTAATAAAATGAGCAATGTATTATCACATGTATATTCACATAGAAAGCTGTCTAACGTACATGCAATTAAGAACCAAGTAGATCAACAGCCTGTACAGAATAAGCCTACAGATCACAACACCTTCATATTTAACAGCTTTGGAGTCAAGGGCACTTCTGAGCACATGATCAAATAGGAAAGCTAAAATATGAAATCTGTTTCCCTCCCCCTCTCCAAAAAAAAAAAAGCTCACTTCTAGGTTAACGTCTTACTAAAGCTCTTCAAAGCAGAAGACCGCCTGCAGTCACGTTCAAGTGTCAAACTCCAGTCAAGCCTGAGGGCCTGGTGCTCTTATTTCACCCTGATTCATCCAGGACGGGTCCTTAAATGACCCTCCCTACCCCGGTCTGCTCCCAACTGCCGGTCCCTTTGAGGGAGCGATGCCTAATTCTAGAGAAAAAAAAGTATCAAACATAACTACTGATGCTCAAAGGAAACAATGTAAGTTTTGAATTACAAAATCCAATTTTTATATTATGAAAAGTCTTTCATTATTCTGGTTAACAGCAGTTACTGTTTATTAGTCGGAGTTAATACTGAGCCAAGATGCGCCAGTATGACAAACCCCTACTATTGGGGGACACCGAATAGAGACTGATAAGTAATGGATATTAAGGATTTTGAATGTCAAACTGTACTCAAGGACCCTTTTGTTGTATTCTTTCATCTACAATGTTAAGTTGTTGTTAGGTCGCTAAGTCATCTCCGACTCTTTGCCACCCCATGAACTGCAGCATGCCAGGCTTCCCTGTCCTGCACTATCTCCCAGAGGTTGCTCAAACTCATGTCCATTGAGTCACTGATGCCATCCAACCATCCTGTCCTCTGTTGCCCGCTTCTCCTCCTGCCTTCAATCTTTCCCAGAATCAGGGCCTTTTCTAGTGAGTCATGTCTTTGAATCTCGTGGCCCAACTATTAGAGCTTCAGCTTTAGCATCAGTCCTTCCAGTGAATATTCAGGGTTGATTTCCTTTAGGACGGACTGGTTTGATCTCCTTGCTGTCCAAGGGACCATTACAGTGTCATAACTGGCTAAAAATAAACTGAATAAATAAAAATATCAAAGAAAAAAAAAACAAAAACAAAGAATACTTAGAATGGTCGTTGTGTTTTCCCACCAGCTCTGCAACTCCTTTTCTCCGTGGGACTTTCACATTTAGACTAAAGGTTCCCAAGCCCTCTCTGAAAGGTCAAGAGAGGGCAGCCTGTTCTTTCCTCTTCTGGGGTCACAGTGGAAGTTGAGACCCGCCAACCCGCCATTGGCCGCACAGTCTGGGAGGCCCGGCGGCGTTCTCACCCCCGGCAGGAGCCAGGCTGGGCTCCCCTCGGCCCGACGGCTCGGGTTTCCCATGAAGGGACTGGAGAAAGGCGAGAAGAGCCGCGAGCAGGTCCCGCAGAGCCGGGGTCCCCGCGCGGGAGGTCCCGGGGGCCGCTGCTGTGGAAAGAATGAGGCTTATTATTCGCAAAGGCGAGGGGGCGGCGAGGTGTCCAGCGGAGCAAACGGTTGAAACCCAAGTCGCGCGGATGCTGGCAGCGCGGCGCCTGCTGTGAGACAGTCAGATGAACCCTGATAAACCCCGGGCACTTTCCCCACCCCCGCCTGCTCCCCGCCCGGCCCGGAAGCTTCAGCTTCACACGCAGAGCAGAGGCCGGGAGGGGACGCGAAGGTGGGCTGCTGGGGGTCCAGGGAGGGGCTTTCTGCGCTTCCAGAGGGGCAGTGAGAGGCTGACTGTGCTCAGGTCAGGCCGCTCAGCGCTGGTCTGGTGACAAATGGGGTCTGCGGGGAGAGTGCATGGCCAGGAGGGACCCCGCTGGACTCCCGGCAGGGGCCGGGGAAGACGGAGGGGCAGCAGAGAGGCCGAGTCCAGAAGGGCTGCGCTGGAACCACAGTGGGTGACCAGAGGCTGGAATGGAGGCCAGTGAGAAGCCCGCCTAAGAAACACCCCAGGGTTCTCTGTCTAGGCCTGGAGATGGGGTGGCCTCCCTGCTGGGTGAAACCAGTACTTGGGTACTTGATCCCCGGATCTTCAGTATTCATGCACAACAGGTGAATGTACCTAATACCATTGAATTGTACATTTAACAATGATCAAGCATAGAACAACTACCAGGTTATCCAGCAGTCCCACTTCTGGGTTTGTAGGGGTGAGTGGATAAAGAAAATGTGGTACACACACACACACACACAATTATTATTCTGCCCTGAGCAAGAAGGAAATCTTGTATTTGCAACAACATGGTCTAACCTGGAAACCTTAGTGAAATGAGCCAGGCAAAGAAAGACAAATACTGCATGGTATCATTTACATGTGGAATCTAAAAAAAAAGGTTTCATAGAAATAGAAAGTAGAAAAGTGGTTGCCAGGAACTGGGATAGCTGGGGGCTGGGGGCAGGAAATTGGGAAAGTTTGGTAAAGTACACATTTTCATCTACAAGATGAATAAAGTCTGAGGATCTAATGTGTAAAATGGTGACTATAGTTGATAACATTGTATCATATAATTGAAATTTGCTGAAAAGTAAAATTTGTGCTAAAAAGTGATCAAAACAGAGACTTGAAGAGATATTAGTACTCTAAAGCATTATTTACAATAAGCCAGAGATGGAAGCCGCCCGAGTGTTCATTGATGGATGAATGGATGAGCAAAATGTGGCCCGCCCATTTACTAGAATGAGATTCAGCCTTTGAAAAGGACATGCTGACACTGGCTGCAACGCAGATGAACTTCAAGGACCTTATGCCGCGTGAAATAAAACAGCCACGAGAAGACAAACACTGCACTAGGCCACTTATATGAGGCATGGAAAATAAAATCATAGGAAGAGAACGTAGCTTGGTGGTTACCAGGGTCTGGGAAAGGGGAAGAGGGGAAGGGGACTGGTGTTTAATGCGTCCAGAGTGTCCTAATGCGCCCAGAAAGTCCTGGAGATAGGCGTCACAGCCATGTACATGTATTCAATGCCATGGAACTGCACACTTAAAGGTGATTAAGGTGGCCAACTCCATGTCATGTGTTTTTCTTAATAGACTAGATTTAGAGCAGTTTTAGGTTCACAGCCAAGTGCAGAGAAGGTTCAGGGATTTCCCACATGATTGCTGCCCCCTACACCATCGCCTCCCTCACGATCAGCACCCCCACCAGAGTGGGGCACTTGTTACAGCTGATGACCCCTCACCGATATATCGTCACCCAACGTGCTGCGTGGTTTTTGCTGCAATTAAAAAAAAAGTGAGCACAACATTGATAGAAAAACCTGACAAATTGCCCAGTGAGAGAATTGTAGACAAAACATTTGTGGACACGGATGTAAAACTTTTCAATAATGTTGGCTGCTGCTGCTGCTGCTGCTAAGTCGCTTCAGTAGTGTCCGACTCTGTGCAACCCCACAGACCGCAGCCCGCAGGTTCCTCTGTCCCTGGGATTCTCCAGGCAAGAACACTGGAGTGGGTTGCCTTTGCCTTCTCCATAACGTTGGCTAAGAGACTCTATGTTAAAAGAATAACATACAAAATAAATGGTAAATGCTATGTTCTCTGTGAAGTGAAGTGAAGTCGCTCAGTCGTGTCCGACTCTTTGCAACCCCATGGACTGTAGCCCACCAGGCTCCTCCATCCATGGGATTTTCTAGGCAAGAATACTGGAGTGGGTTGCCATTTCCACAATTAAAAAATAAAAAAAAAACCCTTGAGTTGTTTGCTTTCCAACCTGAAGAACAAAACCCTGTGGGGCTCCAAAGGGAAGAGGGGAGGCCAGCTAGCCATCAAGGCCAGGCCATGACTGTGGGAAGTCCCAGACGGGCACC